GGGGTCCCCACTGTCACCCCCCAGGTGAGTCCCCAGCTTTCCCCCCCACAGGTGGGTCCTGGGCCCCCAATCTGTGTCCTGTGGATGGGGGGGATCCCCAAGCTTTGCCCTGTCCAGGGCTGTGCCCCCACCCCAGGGCTGTGCCCCCCACCCCAGTGTGGTCCCCACCACCCCAGGGGGGTTCCCCCTGACCCCAGGGGGGGTCCCCAGTTTTTTGGCCAAGAGCCCCCCAGACGTGCCCCCCACGTGCAGGGGAAGGCGGTCACAGACCAGCACCATGTCAGTGTTTTGGGGGGTCCCTGAGCTCTGCCCTGTCCCAGGGCTGTGCCCCCACCCCCAGGGGGGTCCCCCACTTAGGGAAGCCCCCCTTGACCCCTGTGGCCCCCCCAGGTGCTGAACATGTACGGGAAGGTGGTGACAGTGCGGCACCAGGCCGTCACCAGGAAGAAGGACAATCGCTTCGCCGTCGCCCTGGACTCGGAGCAGAACAACATCCACGTCAAGGACATCGTCAAAGTCATCGATGGCCCCCACTCCGTGCGTCCTGGGGGGGCTTGGGGGGCCTGGGGGGCTCCCTGGGGTGTTCTGGGGGGACCCCGGCTCTGTCTGTGTCTCTGGGAACGTCCTCGAGTTCCCTCCCTTGGTTTGGAGTTTGCTCCCTGCTCTGGGATTTACCCTCCCTTTTTGAGTTCCTTCATTTTTGGGGGTTCCACCTCCCCTTTTTGGGGTTTCACCTTCGCTTTTTAGGTTCCCCCCCTTGTTTTGGGGTTCCTTCCCTTGTTTTGGGGTTCCTTTCCTTGTTTTGGGTTTCTCTCGCCCTGTTTTTTGCTTTCACGCCCCCCTTTTCACTTCTCACTCCTCTTATTTTGGGCTTTCACCCCCTTTTTGAGTTTTACCCCCTTTTCTGCCTCTCACCCCCCTCATTTTGGGGTCTTGCCCCACTTTCTCCCCCCAGGGCCGCGAGGGTGAGATCCGACACCTTTTCCGCGGCTTCGCGTTCCTGCACTGCAAGAAGCTGGTGGAGAACGGGGGGATGTTCGTGTGCAAGACCCGCCACCTGGTGCTGGCCGGGGGCTCCAAGGTCCGTAGGACCCCTCAGGACCCCCAGTTTTCCCGATTTTGCCCGTTTTCCCTCCTCCTCACCCCGTTTTCCCCGCCTGCAGCCCCGGGACGTCACCAACTTCACGGTGTGCGGCTTCACCCCCATGTCCCCCCGCATCAGCAGCCCGATGCACCCCAGCGGGGCTGGTGAGTCCGGGGGCACTCCCGGGGGTCTTTGGGGACCCCCCGAGCCCCCCCTGAGCCCCCCTGTGCCCCCCCAGGCCAGCGGGGGGGCTTTGGGGCCGGCGGGATGAGCCGCGGGCGGGGCCGGCGCGACAACGACCTCATCGGGCAGACGGTGCGGATCTCGCAGGGGCCCTACAAAGGTGGGTGTGGGACCCCCCCGAGCCCCCCCCAGAGCCCCCCGGGACCCTCCCTGACCCCCCCCGTGCCCCCCAGGGTACATCGGGGTGGTGAAGGACGCCACGGAGTCCACGGCCCGCGTGGAGCTGCACTCGACCTGCCAGACCATCTCCGTGGACAGGCAGCGCCTCACCACCGTGTGAGTGGGGGGAGACCCCCAGAGACCCCTGCAGGGGAGGGGAGAGCCCCCCGTGGGGTGGGAACATCCCCAGAGACCCCCCTGTGGGTTGGGGTGACCCCTCCATGGGCCGAGAGGGCCCTTGGAAACCCCTCAGTGGGTTGGGGTGGTCCTGGGAGACCCCTCGGTGGGTCAGTGGGGGCCCTTGGAAACCCCTCAGTGAATCGGGGTGACCCTTGGGCCACGCAGGGGGGGCTCTGTCAGGGGTTTGACCCCCCTTTCCCCCCCAGGGGGTCCCGGCGCCCCGGGGGGCTCACGTCGGCCTACGGGAGGACCCCCATGTACGGCTCCCAGACCCCCATGTACGGCTCGGGGTCCAGGACCCCCATGTACGGCTCCCAGACCCCCATGTACGGCTCGGGGTCCAGGAC